GGGATCATGACCTGAGCCGAAGGCAGACACTTAACTGACTGAGCCACCCAGGCGCCCCTAAAAAAATTTTTTTTTTAAATGCAGCCGTTAAAGTGAATACAGGAGATGCAGGAGCTGTCTTCATTCATGTGAATAAACCTTGAAAATGTTGAGTGAAAAAAACAAGTTTGCAAAGCAGTATGTACAGTTGATAGTTTAAAATTGTTAATGCCATATATTATAGTGAAGTTATACTACCTCGGGAAAGTGGTTGCCTCTGGGAGGAGACAGAGGGAAGAGAATGAGACAAGGTGGAGAAAAGGGGGCTTCCAACTGCCTGCACTCCCACTTCTGGTGCGTGTGAACCCAAAAGAAGGGAATGGAGGGACCCCAGCAAATACCTGTATGTCCATGTGCACAGCAGCTTTACAAGAGCCAAGAGGTGCAAGCATCCTAGTGTCTGTTAATAGGTGAACAGATGAAATGTGATCAATATACATATTCGGGGTGGCGCAGTCGGTTGAGCGTCCGACTCTTGGTTTCAGCTCAGATCTCATCTCAGGGTCATGAGATCGAGCCCCGTGTTGGGCTCCACACTCAGCAGGGAGTCTGCTTGAGTTTCTCTCTCTCCCTCTCCCTCTGCCCAACCCCCTGCTTTCTCTCTCTCACTAAAATAAATATAAATAAATCTTTAAAAATACACACACACACAGTGGAGTACTGTTCATTCATAAAAAGGAATGAACTTCGGACACATGCTACAACATGGATGAACCTTGAAGCACTGTGCTCAGTGAAAGCCAGACATAAAAGGACAAGTAGTGTGTGATTGCACAGATAAGAGGTAGCTCGAAGAGAGGTTACTAGGGGCTGGGTGAAGACAGGAGAGTTACTGTGTCTTGGGTGTAAAATTTTTGTTTGGGATGACAACAAGGTTCTGGAAATGGATTGTGGTAATGGTTTGCACAGCAATGTGAATGCACTGAATGCCACGAAATTGTACACTTACAGGGTTAAGATTGTAAATCTTATGTAATGTACATTTTAGCACAATTTAAAAAATCCTAAATGTAAAAGCCAAAACTACTGATCTTTCAGGAGATCGTGTGTCGGTGAATATCCTAAAGACCTTCCTTAGTTTGCCATTATAGGGTATTGACACAATGGATACTGTGTAGCAGTGAGAACAGGATTTTGTTTATCAAAAGGTCTCATGGGGGGCATCTGGGTGGCACAGTTGGTTAAGCGTCTGACTCTTGGTGTCTGCTCAGATCATGATCTCAGGGTCCTGAGATCGAGCCCCGCATTGGACTCTGCGCTCAGTATGGAGTTGGCTTGAGATTCTCTCTCCCTCTCCCTCTCCCCCTCCTGCTCCTGCTCTCATTCACTCGCTCTCTCTCTAAAATAAA